TGTGCCTTTATGGTTGCTTTTATGGACTTTTTCGAGTACTTTTGTACTTCTACTGCCTTTGGACTTTTTCACAGTACTTCCTCTACTGATCGGATATCCTTCATAGACCATATGCCAGATTATGCCGCACTGATTTTGCTTATCGCATCTCTTTGATTACACAGTAAAACTGAATGCCATTGCAATTACGTATTTCGCCATTCGGTGAGGTGTTTAGGCACCTTATAACTACCGCGACAGGCCACAGGCAATATCAAAATTGACGGGACCAAGACTCCTAGTAGTCAACGGCCTGTTTTGAGAGCAAAAGATTTGATTTGTGCATATATGAGAATCTGAAGAAAGAAAGTCTGGGGAAAACAGTGACTACTGGATAATTTTTCCTTTCAATTTCTTTAGCTTTTACAGTTTCACTTGGGCACCGTAACTGATGATGATGTCCTTTCAGTTGGTCAAAACAAGAATTTTCAAAAGGAAATTTCATTTTGAATTTGGTAAACTGCCCACAGTACTTATTTGCCATGAATGTTTTGCTAGATGGGAGCATCTCAAATTAAATGACTTCCCTATAATCTAATCAAACAGAAAGTGCCAGATTTATGAAGTGGGGACCTCTCACCAAACACACAGCTATTATTTACTATTTTTTAAAATCAATTAATGGTTTGGGATTTCCTCAAATGCAGGCAATGGCAATTACAAGCCCTTACCAATGCAAGAAATAGAAACACCTACATTTAAAGGACAGCTCTTGTAACAGGATTTGAAATTTTACTTACTTGTTTTAGTTCCTATTTCATTGTTTAATCTTGTACAGCATATACGTTTCATCACTTGATATAATTCAGTTTACAAATACAGTCAAAAGTCGTTAATCCGGACTCGTCGGGACTTCGGCGATTCCGGATTATCGATTTTTCCGGATTATAGATCATCAGTTTAAATCTCGTAAGATGGCATGCAGAAATTATAAAATTAAAAATATGAAACCGTAATTTATGAAATAAAGAACAATTATGATCTAAAGGGTATCAAAATTTGCAAAAAGAAAAAGCTTAATATTTATTTGTTTACTTAAATAAACATTTCTTTCAATGTAAGTTGTTTAAGTTTTGCTTTGTTTCATGTGATAATACTTTCTCTTTAATTCTATTAAACAGACAAAATTTCTTGTTCAGTTACAAAGTTCCGCTGTTCAAGTCCTATAATTGCTGTGTCAAGAACACCGACTAATTTGTCAATCGAAATTTTTTCGTTTTCAATAACCTCTGTTACTTTTCTTCGCTATCGGAAGCGAATTATAATGACGAGGAACTTGTTTTAAATCATATCAAAGACGAAGCATATCGAGATGAAATACTACATTTGGTAAGGAATTATAAGCCAAATAAAATAAAAACATCTGCCCTGAAGATAAGGATAGTGTTGACAGATCAACTTCCAATTCATTACGCGCCCGCCGCGCGGCGTTCCCCCCCCCCCCCCCGCCGAGCAGCGTGAAATTGATAAACAGATTTCGGATTTCAAAACATACTTTCGCTTTAGATCCTTTACATATTAACAAATATATATCGGAAATTCTATTTGATATAATCGAAAGTTTAAGCTTACTTTTATAAATTGCTCTTACAGTCTGCAAAAAAATAATAAGCCGGATCCAATTCGAAAATTAAGGAACAACGCAAATCATCAACATTAACTGAAATAGATAATTATTTAGCTTATACGTCCATTATACATAAAATGCGCGCGCGAAAACGTATTCTGCACTTGCGCACACTCATATGCGCAGTCGTAAAAGGTCTTACGCGCACGCGTGAACGCCTCTGCGCATGTGTCAACGCGGCGCATGCGCAGAAAGTTTTTAGTTTTGATGTCCAGATTATAGATCATTCCGAATTATGGGTGTCCGAATTAACGACTTTTGACTGTAGTTATTTTTCATGGCAAATGAGAAAAAAAATGGTTTCAAGGACATGGTCTAGCCTATTTCTTTCTGTCAAACAATGTGGCATCCATTACCAAGATTGAATTGCATAATTACATTATGGCACAGCATACTAGGGCTATCAGCCAGAGAAGAGGAAAGCCTTTGTGGAGGACTTTTACAGGAACTGGGTATACACATGGGAAAAACCATGAAAATACCCATGTAACCAGCTCATTCTCCAGAATTTGAACCCAGGACAAACTAACTGTATTCAACAATCTTAAACATTCAGTTACTGGGTTGGCATACCTTTGCAGTGAATCTAATTTTCTATAGATGATAAAATGCAGATGAATTGTCAACATTAAGTCATACAGATGAACTATCAACAATTAGGTCACTCTGCAGTTGTATTAAAATTATTTTCTAGATAAGCATGCATGAGCTCATCATTTTTGTCAAAAAGCTGTCCTGAGCAAAGTTTATTATCGAAGTTAATGTCATCATTTTTAATTCTTACAAAACCACTTTTTTACTGTGCTGAGAAAAAGTATACTCCAAACATATATTTTAAATGCTTTTCTTATGATTTCAATACTCCATTACAAAACTCAAATAACATATAATAAATACAATTTTTCATTCTCTATTGAATGAACATTAAATCATTAAATTTCATTTTACCCCATGAAATGGAAAAACAACTTTTATACACATTACTATTTCTACATGACTTTTCTTCTGATTAGCATTTCTACACACTTTTGTAATTTTCTGGATACCCAGCAGGCAATGTTCAAAGTGAACAATAACAAAAGGTTGTAAGGTATATTTTAATTTTATAACAGTTATTTTAATTTTAATGTACTTTTCTATCGATTCTTGTTCCCATTTACAACTCCCTACTAGAATGAGTTTTTAGAATTGCATTGAATGCAGATGAGTTAGAAGTAGTATTTAAGGAAGATTCAACTTACTTCAAGAGAGAAAACTAGGAATCCTGAGTAGTGTTTGCCTTAAGGCTAAATCTCTCTTGAAGCTGTTACACTCGACTGTATATGATGTGCCTTTTGATATTTGCCAGAAATTAGGGCCAACTACGTTAGATCTCATTTCAGCTTCGTCAAGTTTCTCTTAGTTAATTACAGTTTAATTCTTATTTCTTATTCTGAGTTTAAGCGCCCAAGTGAAGGCTTTGTTGTATGCTTGAAAAAGGGGTGAACTTTTCATCTTATTTTGAGTGAAATAAAGGGTAGTTAACCCTTCTTGAGTCTACTTTCTTCTTGATTAGCCATGGGCTTCCCATGGCTAATCCCTCAGTTTTTTCCAAAATAAATATTACAAGCAAACTGAGGGATTAGCCATGGGAAGCCCCCTCAGTCCCATCCTGGCTGATATCTACATGCATTATATGAATCAAAATTGTTTGAAACTTAAACTCCCGGCATGGTTCCGCTACGTAGACGATACTTTTTACCCTGTTTGAAGGTAATAATGATTTAAATAGAGTTCTTTCAACAATGATTCTATTGATCCTGCTATTCAGTTTCACTTTTGACTTGAGACTTGCAATTCTCTTCCGTTTCTCGACTTCTGGTCACACACGTTAACACATCCAACTTCAGTACTACAGTTTACCGTAAACCTTCTCGTTTGCCTTCCTCACACTTTAAATCATGTCATCCGACTAAACAAAAGTTAGCTTCATTTTATTCCTATGTTTTCCGTGCTCTCAAGTTGCTCCTCCAAACTAGCCCTTGATGAAGAACTAAATTATTTAAAAGCATAGCTATTGACAGGGGCTTTTCACCCAACTTATTAATCAAGCATTAAAAAATTCTCATCTCAACACACTAAAAGCCACACTCTTATTTTAGGAGATTATAAAATTCTGTTGTCATACCCTTCTTTCCATCAATTAGCTATAAAGTTGCACATATTTTGCAGAAATTTAACTTTCGGTTGTTTTACTACTCTCCCATCAATAAATTCCAACTTCTATACTCAAGGACCCCATTCGGATATGATTCCTGGGGTTTATAGGATTCCTTGCCAGTGCGGTTTAATTTACATTGGCCAAACTAAGAGCGCCTTAAAATTTCGCGTCAACAACATGAGGCATATGTTAGAAAAAAGGAACACAGAAGTCTTCTGTTGCTCACATGTTGGTCCGAAAATCACACTTTCAATTTTCTGCTGCCAAATTATTCAAAAAACATCTTCCAGTGAGAACTGGATTTTCTAGAGGCATTTCACATCATAAAATGTTTCTGTTTTAGTTAACGATCCTAATTCCAATCCAAATTTGCCTTCGCTTTTAGAGAAATTATGTTTTAGTTCTGGTTTCGCCAACAGATGGCGCCACTTGCTTATTCTTGTCCAGGCTTTCTTATCTTATTTAAACATTATTTTATATCTTGTTCATTTGCAGTTTTGCAGCTGAAGATGATGGTTCGATAAAACCATCGAAACTAGTCCTGTGAAAATTTTGTGAATTAACGCTGATTTTTGTTGTTTGACTTCTGAATCAGTATTTATTCGGCGTGTTATTGTGTCTTAATTATTAAGGAAATAACTGGTCAGTTTCCCATTTTCCATGCCATAATTTTATTTTTGTTTTTGATACAGTTATTTTAGAAATAAATTATTTGTTCCTCTTTTCTTGTATACATCCCAGCTGACCAGTATTTGAATGGTTAACGTTATAAAACACTAGTAATTTATCTCAGGGTCTGATTCTAGAGGTGTGATTCAGTTTTTCTTTGAAAGTTCCTTGCAAATTCATCTCTTCCCTTTAGCAGATAAATCTTGCATGCTTTGTCTTACTATTAAACTGTTTTCCCTCCAAACCTGTGTATCCCATGCTGACCATAAAACATCTAGCTTTAGTTTATATTTACTAATTTACAAATAATAAATACATATAATGCACATATATATGTGTACTGTACTGATGTAATGTACACACTTTTTATATATGTTTACATGATAGTTTCAAGTGTTATACATGTTTCATTACTTCATTACATAAAATAACAATGGAAAGAACAAACGAATGGTTGGGACATACCATACCAAGCTTGCTGCTCTCCTTGTACCTCAATTGCTAAACCGAAGTCAGCAAGTTTTACAGCTGCTCCTTTTGCTTTACTAGCCAACAGTAAGTTCTCTGGCTAAGAGAGAAAATAAGTTAATGAATTATAGCCGACAAAGATTGAATGATAATATATAGTATACAGAATAGACATACTATTATTCAACTAATTATAACCTAGATACTAAATAACCTAAAACAGTGCAATTTTCTGAAAATATTCTACTTCTTTCCAAGTTTTTTTACTATGCTATTTTCTCCCACATTCAAATGTAATAACACTTCAACTATATTAATAGAACTTTAACAATGACATGTTTCAACAGCACTACCTCCTCAGATATAGGAACTGCAACCAGTGCTGATATTCCAACTAAATGAAGCCCCTTGACATTGGATTCTGTATGCCAAAGAACTTCTAAATCAACATTTTCCTGGGAGATAGATAAGCTATGGTGGACAGTGCTATCTTAAAAGCATTATGAGCCCCTATGCAAACCACAGTGCTGGAGCCCCAGCAGCAAACTACCAATCTATTAATAGCAAGTCAATTGAAATACACAGATCAGCATAGGGGCCACGGGTAAGCACCCAGGAAGCCCATGAATTAAGAAGGCACTGGAGAAGCAGCAATCTCCTAGCTTTCCCTCTCACATAATATCATTTCTTTTGATTTTTTGCTTTGCAATACATCAAGGATAATATCCACCAAACTCCATTTCAACATGTTTCTACTCTTTACAGATGGAAAGCTGAAGATGTGTAGATTACGAATACATGGAGAAAGTAGAATGTTATGCCAAAACAAGTGTCAATAGCAATGAAATATTATCTGGGCATTCCGAAGGTAACAAATAATGCATTTGTCAATGTGCAGAAAATGTGAATAAAACTTGGAGAGACATAAAACATTTTAAAAAAAAAGTGTTGTCTTATGTCATGCGGTATCTGGTTATGATAGCTTGTAATGGAACAGACTTTGTGGCCCACCCTGTAGATTATAATCTTGAATAATTCAGTACTACAACAATCTTGCATAATTCAGTATTTCTACACAATGAATCAATCCTTTGACAAAAAGAAATGAATAGCTTACATATTTTACCTATAAATCATATAACAAAGACTTGACAATATAAACTGACATAAATGAACAATACTTTGGATACTTTTCACAAAACCGTGAATTCAGCAGTACCTTTTATAATAACAAAAAGAATTTTATGCAAATGTGCATATCACTTAGTGCAGAGGTGGCAAGGTTAAAAATAATGAAATTTGGAACACAGATTCTGAAGAGAAAGTCTGTATGTATCTCAAAATGATTTTTCAAAGTTGGATTTAAATATTTTTATTTCATATTACAATGATCTTGTTATGGATTTTCTGCACATAAGACCAAAGAACTTCGGGTTTAAATATCACTCCTTCTCATTATGTATTCAGCTATGACTCTAAAACTACTTCTGGCAGGAAGTCGTAAGTTGAAGTTCAGAATTTAACAGGAAAGAAGTTTAACTCAAAATTTAACTGTTAATAAAATTAATATAATCCTTACACATTTAAAATCACTGAGTTTTTTGCAAGGAGGTTAAAAGGAAAGAGGGTTCAATATATGATTGCATGAAAAGAACTTCTAAACAGACTTCTGCAATTACTTTTCATGCATAAGTACACTGCTGGCCACCCAAATTGCAACACCAAGAAGACAAGAGATATTACAAAAAAATATATATTATATATATATATATTATATATATATATATTTAGTAGATAACATCTTGACCAAGTATCAAATGATTAAATTTATAGACTTCTGTGAAGTGTGGTTCCTTCCAAATCAGTAGCCAGAGTAGCTGCCATTGTTGGAGATCACCGCTGCCCACACGCCGTGGCATTGATTCAAAGGGACTTTGGTATGTGTTCTTGGGGTACAGCAGACCAAGCAGCTTCCACACATTTCCAAAGTTGATCTGGTGTGGCAAGCTTGGGGTGTAATCTGGGTCAAATCGTTCAGCAACCAATGGACCACGTTTTCTATCGACGAAAAGATTCAGGAGAGCAATCCGGCCAAAGTGCAGCAATTCAATCTGGCGATTGACGGAAGAACCCTTGGACAATGTGTGCCACATGTGGTCGTGCGTATTATCCTGTTGAAATATGGCTGTGGGCAAGCCCTGAAAGTAAGGAAGGACAACTGGCTCTAACACCTTGGAGATGTAGCGCTGCCTGTTTAAAGTACTGGCAATGCCTATTAGAGGAGTGCGAGAGTGATATTCAATACCACCCCATACCATAATACCTGGTGCAGGACCAGTGTGGCGGTGCATAACACAGCTGTTCAGCATCCTCTCTCCATGGTGTCTCCAGATTCGAATCCGACCGATGGTGTTGCAGACAGAAGCGTGACTCGTCAGTAAAAAAAATTTCATTCCATTCTTCCGTCCACATCCTTCTTTCATCGCAACATTGGCAGCGGAGATGTCTGTGGTTCTGCATCAAGGGTAGACAAAGCAATGGACATCTTGTGGACAGACCACTCTGCTGTAAACGGCATAGAATGGTACGCACAGACACTGGATGATGTGTTACGGACTGAATGTGCTGTGCTATGGTTCGTGATGTGACTGAGCGATCCATCACTGCCATGCGCACAATGTTTCTGTCATCACGTGAAGTGGTGCACTGAGGTGGATGTGATCGAACATGTCAGTCCGTCGTATCCTCCTGCATTCAACGGTGACATATCCGCATTACAGTTGTTTGGTTTCATTCAACATGGAATTTATGATACCAATTTCCTGAATGACTACCTATTACCGAGAGTGTGGATTATCTTTCAAGATAATCCACATTCTCGGTAGGCCACTATCCTTCCTCTGTCGAAATCAGATACTTGATCAAACGATGATCGCTTTTTACTACGAGGCATAATCGATTGTTTTTTTGAAAAAACCACAAGAAAAACACAATTGCCGAACTTGAAATCATTGAAAACTCCAAGCCTTAAATAGCGCTTTGAAGTGGCACCACAGGCGCACATGATTTGAGTCTGGGCTGAATTCTAATCATTTGCATATCTCACCTCCGCTAATGCATGTTGTAAATTTCATGTTATTTGCATGCTTCCTTCAGGTGTTGCATTTACGGTGGCCAGCAGTGTATTAATTGTTTTTATACTAATTTATGTAATTTGGCAAATATGCTGAAAATATCACAGTGTCATATATTTTTTTCCAGATGTGATTAAAAAAAGGGAGTTAATAGTAATAAAATAATAATATTAAATACATTTCTGCTTATGTTTATAACTGGTATCTTTGTTTCTTAATATGCAATGATACACACTACGATTTATATACATATTTGATGTTTTAAAGAACTTCTTTCATAATTTCCATACATTCCTGTTTATGTTTATAACTGGTATCTTTGTTTCTTAATATGCAATGATACACCCTACGATTTATATACATATTTGATGTTTTAAAGAACTTCTTTCATAATTTCCATGAAAACTAAAAAAACTTATTGTTACTATTTTTATGAAGAGTAAAAGTATTATTGTAAAAGTATATGAATTGTAAAAGCATTATTGTAAAAGTATGATTTTTTTCTTTGTGTATTAATTATTATTCATTTTTACGTATTATGAACTGTTATGAATATAATTTGTGCATTTGATCAAGAAAAAATGTTCCGTTATTATAAACTGCTAGCATAAACTTACAAACTCCTAGGCAATTAGGCAATATAAAGATAAAAATAAGTAAATTATCTTCCATAAGTGAATATGTAGAAAGATGTATGCAAAAATTTATGTAAATATATTTCTATAATTCAGCTTAAAATGTCTTTAATCGAGATTCACAGGATCCATTTAATGCTATAAGGATATTTATACAGTCAAAAGTCGTTAATTCGGACACCCATAATTCGGAATGATCTATAATCCGGACCTCAAAACTAAAAACTTTCTGCGCATGCGCCGCGTTGACACATGCGCATAGGCGTTTACGCGTGCGCGTAAGACCTTTTACGACTGCGCGCGCATATGAGTGTGCGCAAGTGTAGAATACATTTTTCGCGTGCGCATTTTATGTATAATGGACGTATAAGCTAAAATTATCTAATTATCTATTTCAGTTAATGTTGATGATTGCGTTGTTCCTTAATTTTCGAATTGGATCCGGCTTATTATTTTTTGCAGACTGTAAGAGCAATTTTATAAAAGTAAGCTTAAACTTTCGATTATATCAAATAGAATTTCCGATATATATTTGTTAATATGTAAAGGATCTAAAGCGAAAGTATGTTTTGAAATCCGAAATCTGTTTATCAATTTCACGCTGCTGGCGGCGGGGGGGGGGGAAGGCCGCGCGGCGGGCGCGTAATGAATTGGAAGTTGATCTGTCAACACTATCCTTATCTTCAGGGCAGATGTTTTTATTTTATTTGGCTTATAATTGAAGATCAGATGTTTTTATTTTATTTGGCTTATAATTCCTTACCAAATGTAGTATTTCATCTCGATATGCTCCGTCTTTGATATGATTTAAAACAAGTTCCTCGTCATTATAATTCGCTTCCGATAGCGAAGAAAAGTAACAGAGGTTATTGAAAACGAAAAAATTTCGATTGACAAATTAGTCGGTGTTCTTGACACAAGCAATTATAGGACTTGAACAGCGGAACTTTGTAACTGAACAAGAAATTTTGTCTGTTTAATAGAATTAAAGAGAAGTATTATCACATTGAAACAAAGCAAAACTTAAACAACTTACATTGAAAGAAATGTTTATTTAAGTAAACAAATAAATATTAAGCTTTTTCTTTTTGCAAATTTTGATACCCTTTAGATCATAATTGTTCTTTATTTCATAAATTACGGTTTCATATTTTTAATTTTAGAATTTCTGCATGCCATCTTACGAGATTTAAACTGATGATCTATAATCCGGAAAAATCGATAATCCGGAATCGCCGAAGTCCCGACGAGTCCGGATTTTAACGACTTTTGACTGTACCTTTTTTTTATAGTTTACTTTTCAATTATTTTAAAAACATCATTTTTTCACTTAAATGGCCAAGGATATATTTGAACTGCCATTGAATACAGTCAAAAGTCGTTAATTCGGACACCCATAATCTGGAATGATCTATAATCCGGACCTAAAAGCTACAAACCTTCTGCGCATGCGTCGCGTTGACGCATTTACATTTAAGCATGCGCGTAAGAGTTTTACAGCTGCGCATATGTGTGTGCACATAATATGTTTACGCATGTGCCTTTAATGTATAACGGACGGTATAAGCTAAAATTATCTAATTATCTATTTCAGTTAATGTTGCAGATTGCGTTGCTCCTTAATCTTCGAATTGGATCCGGCTTATTATTTTTTGCAAACTGTTAGAGCAATTTTATAAAAGTAAGCTTGAACTTTCGATTATGTCAAATAGAATTTCTGATATATATTTACTAATATGTAAAGAGTTCTCAAAGCAAAAGTATGTTTCGAAGTCCATTAAACAAAAAGTGGAATTCCTGCAAAAAATGGATAAAGGCATATCCTTTGTTTCTCTACCATTCCAAAATCTGTTTATCAATTTCACGCTGCTCTGCGGCAGGGGGGGGGAACGGCACAGCGCACAATGAATTGGAAGTTGATTTGTCAGCACTATCCTTATCTTCAGCGCAGATGTTTTTATTTTATTTGGCTTATAATTCCTTACTAAATGTAGTATTTCATCTCGATGTACTCCGTCTTTGATATGATTTAAATCAAATTCCTCATCATTATAATTCGCTTCCGATAGTGAAGAAAGTGACACAGAGGTTATTGAAAACGAAAAAATTTCGATTGACAAATTAGTCGGTATTCTCGACACAGCAATTATAGGACTTGAACAGCGGAACTTTGTAACTGAACAAGAAATTATGTCTGTTTATAGAATTAAAGAGAAAGTATTATCATATAAAACGAAGCAACTTAAACAACTTACATTGAAAGAAATGTTTAAAAAAGTAAACAAATAAATATTAAGTTTTTTTTTTGTAAATTTCGATACCCTTTAGATCATAATTGCTCTTTATGTCATAAATTACGGTTTCATATTTTTAATTGCATAATTTCTGCATGCCATCTTACCAGATTTAAACTGATGATCTATAATCCGGAAGTCCCAACGAGTCCGGATTAACGACTTTTGACTGTATTATTCGTTTTTATAAAACTCCTTAAGACAGATACCTTTTGTAACTGCAGTATTGTGTGTACTGTTATAAAAATGCTACATAATTTCTGAATAATTTTAATAAAAATGAGCATGATATTTTTTTGTTTAGTATCAGAGAAAGACATTTTCCCATTACATGCAGAAATTTTCTTGCTAGGTAAACATTAGAAATGAAGGATGATGTAGCATCTACATACTTTTAATATACGGAGATGCTATTTTGATTATAGCTGAGTGATTTGCATGGGAAATCTTATGTGGATTCCATTACACATAGCAGGAAAAAATTACGCATTTCTTGTTCTAATGCTCGGACATGAACTAGTTCAAGTTCATCAGGAATCACACAACCCAATTTAGACATCGGATCACAGAGAGTGTTGCCTAGGTTGCAGCACAGGGGCTATCGATTTCACAGCCACAAGAGGTAAGAATAGACAATAATGTACACCCACGACGTTTTAAAGTTTATCTCTGGGTCCATTACTATGGCAGGCAGTTATCTAGCCACTAAGCTGAATAGGGCAGTAGTATATGAAAAGTAATGTATTATGCTTACAGGTTAGCTAGGGTCTGATTATTGCTTAGCCCACAATTCTAAGATTCTTATTTTGAAAGAATCCCGACGATCCTGGAACTTTTCACATTCTTATTCATTTCTCATGAAAACAAAGAAAGTGGTCATTGGGAAAGGTTCAGAAAAGATGGTTTATGTAAGTTCGCAAGATTTTAATCATTTTAGCCATGAGCAGAGTTGCTCTAGCCATTTTGCCATCCAGAGTAGTTTTCGCAAGTGCTAAATTCTGTCATCTAGTGCCTACCTCATTTCTAAACATTTTTTCTGCCCCTAAATCCTGTCGCACTGGTTCTGGCAGTGAGGTTAGTTCTAAATAATTTGGAACCTTGATTCATCGAGGTCTAATTAATTATTTAATATTCAGTCATACATGTATTACATATTCAAAAAGTTAGGCAAAAATGGAGATTTTGAATATAACTACTACAAATTATTGTAACAATAATTGAATTTCTGTTAATTTTTATTTATTTTATTTTTAAATTTCTACAAAAATATGGAAATTTAAGTCAAAATCTAAGCCATACTTTTTATTTAAGCATGCAATTAATAAAATACGTCTAATGATTCCTAGCAATAGGATTAAAATAACTGAAACTTGAACATTCAAAATAAATTTACAAAAACACTATTTTCATTCAAAATCAAAGACACAATTATCATTCACATATGAAATTAATAGAATAATTCCGATAATTAATATTTTGAAATAGAATTAAAATAATTGAAATTCCAGAATTTAAAACGCATTTAAGAAAAAGAAATACCTTCAAATCCCTGTGCACAACACTATTTTGATGACAATGGCTTACACTTTCTAATATTTGTTGTATACAGTGACTAAAAAAGGAATAAAATGAGTCACTAAAAAGAGATAATTACAGAGATAAACACAAATTTGAACAAAATATTACTTAAAGCTACATAATACAAATCAGGAAATATATACATACTCCTGTGTTCAAAAAGCTTATGGAAAATTGCTTTTAGAACAGTTCTATTTGACATTTAAAAAAAATTAGTACATAGTCATCTTTAAAGTAAGATATATTGAAACATATAAACTAGCTTCATTGTTCTTAATATTTACTGATGCCACATAAGAACTTATTTAGCATATTAAATAAGTTCTTGGAATCTATTTATTTAGCATATTAAAAACAACCTTTATCTATGAATACATTAAACTAAATCATCTCAAAAAGTAATTTTCTCAGCTATCGCAAAAAAATAATAAAAACGTTTTAAACCAATTTATGTAATGCATTATTCAAAATAATTAGAATAATTTCGAACATCATTTTCCTCTTTAAATGACATTAAGCGGTATTCTCTTCTGATTACTTGTGTGTCATATTCATTAATTTATAGTTTTGTAACAATTGGCGTGAAGAGATAATTTCTACAGAAGTAATTGATATATTCCTAGACTTAAATCTAGCTAAAAAATCTTATAAAGTTTTATTACTTTAGAATCATATAAAAAATTCTTTACACTAGAAACATTTTTCTTATTTAATTTATGCAAATAACTGCCAAAGTTTACTATAACATGAATTTTACAAGATCACATTGGTGTGAGCTGGGCTTAACTAATATCTACATTTTAAGAAGCTTTACATTGATCAACACTTTATAAGATAATTTTCATATCAATTTATTAACATAAGTAAACTAATTAGTCCTTAAATTGAATTTTTATATAACTACGAATACACACATTTTACTCTTCAATTTGTGCAGTTTCTGAATTTTTGCTCTATGGAAGTCACACTTCTTATATTTTATTTTTTATAATAAACATAACATTTTCTTGAATAAAATTATACGTTCCGGGGGCATGCATATAAAAAGGTTAGATTTCATAATTTTCATAAAATTCAGTTTTCTTTAATTTTAAAACTGTTAAAACATGAATATTCACATTATTTAAAACATGCCCACAATTGGAAATGCATGTGAACTAACTAATGTGAAAGAAAGCGCCAGGTTTGCAGACATGGTGTATAAACAGGGTGTCCCAAAAGCTCGTTTACAGACTTAAAGTTACCATAATGAACAAGCTTCACTGTTAGACCATAATGAACAAGCTTCACATACGATGTTGTGTCCAAAACTGTGACACGCTGCCGCTAGAGAGAGATGTTCGTAGGCATATTGGTGAGCAGAAAGCGGTATCATTTCAACAGAGGATGTTGCAGGTGAAGGAGGCATTGCTTCAGTAATGAAGAATTAACAGATATATATATCATATTTATCGGGCCATGGATGGAAATACATTGCTTTTCCATCCATTCATGGCCATGGATGGAAAAGCCGCAAGTCGCACATACCGACAGCGCTTTTCAAACAGACATCTGCCAAGTCATCCATTGTTTGGACAATTGCACCGTAGATTAAGTGAGGCTGGAACATTCCGAGTAAGCAGCCACATCGGTCAGCAACGTACTACATGTACACCTGCTTATGTGAAAGCTGTGCTAAAATTGAGAAGACTCATGTGCGATAGCTTGGACACTTGTTCAGAGCTTCGTCTCAGTTTCTCATAACAGAGCTTCCTCTAAGTCAAGTGTGCACGCAGTACATTGCCGACTCACGTGACTGCTTACTTCAAACAGATGTCTGTTTGGAAAGTGCTCTGGGTACATGTGACTTGCGGTTTGTCCATTTTCATCCATGGCCCCATAAACGTAATCTAAATCTACCAGTTCCTCATTACTGAATTAATGCATCCTTCTCCTGCAAAGAATCAGCGCTCTGCTTTCAACAAAGAAAGTCTATGTAAAGAAGGAAAGGTTCCGTAGACGTAATGTAAACAAGTTTGTCTTCTACGCCGCTAGAAAGAAGAGGGACAATTCGATAAGGGATTTGGCGACGGAAAATGTTGGCAAGAATTTCCCCCCTTTGTGATGTACCTGGCCGAGATTTTCCACCTTCGCCACGTGTACAGCAAATTGAGGAAGACGGGTTAAGATGAATCGTTCTTTGACTTTTCGCGATAATTTAAGCTCGAATTTTCGTGCTTTACTAGTTGAACTTGTATTATCCATATCGCAGTTTGATGTTTGATTTTATATCTGCCAATATGTAGGGGGGAAAAAATGGAGTTCCACAGCTTTAAACTCTTGATAAACGTGACCTTCGAACTTCGAAATCAGCTTCGAGCTTTGGCGCTTTTTGGCGACAGATATTTCACGCATGCGCAGTTGTGTCCCTTTTCGTTCGGAGGGAGCCACTCCTGCTGCTGCGAAGCTTTCTTTCTTAAAAACATGTATTAATACATATTCTTTGGCTTTCAAATATGCCTGCGAACATTGCCTTCTAGCGGTGGTTGATCATGGTTTCGGGTACAATTTCCTGCGCAAAATTCGTTCGTTACATTTGACAGACCAGCACATAAAGTGTGAAACGGCATTTTGGAAACACTGTATAATGCATAATTTCCCTTCTTTTTTAACTCTAAGTTTGCTACTTCAAAACCTAAAGGGGAAAATTACGCGGTGTGTATGAAGGAAGAGCTAAGCAAGAAAACTTGTACATCTTACCAATCCCTTGGACTAAGAATAAAATAAAATTTGTTTCTAAGATGCATTTAACTTTAATCTAGATTAAAACACAATTAGAATGCATTAGCAAGGTCTAAAACAATGTTTGAAAACTAGCTACGTAAGGATAAAATTACAGCGTATATCTTCAAGACTTTGGCTTGTTTGTGTCTTGTTTAATGTGGATCGCAAAAAGAAGAGCGGTGATGATTATTTAACCGTTGCAACTACTTTGCCTTTTTTGGAGGTGGAAAGCTTTGGCTACTACTTAGCGTTCTTTTTTTTTTTTTTTTTTTCTTTGACAAGTCTATTCCCAAGTAATGACCTCAAATTACCGCAAATATTATCGCTTATTACCGCAAATATTATCATGTCGCTACTTATTTTTCAGCCAGGGGGGAAATAAAGCAATACTGTTGTAAAGTAATGAATTACTGCAATTTTATGGCAAAGAATTTTAAACAACTTTCTTTCGTGGTTTTTAGGAATTTTACTGTTTTGCAGAACATTGAATAAGGAAACCTTACTTAAATAGTAGAAAAGTTAATTAGCAACACATTTTTCTGTTATCTTACACGGATTTTATTCCACAAGTACACAGTAACTAAAACGTAAAAATTAATCTGTAATATTTAAACAGATTTTTGCTATGCATTACTTAATATTTATTATTAGATTAAAGTAATCATATTATGAAGTATGAATATCATTCGAAATTCAACTGATTTTTTTCAGTTACTGAACATAAAGATCAAAAGAAATTACCTAGCATCGGCTTCGCTGTAATATTCTCTTGCAACAATATCTTCAAAGAGTTCGCCTCCAGTCACCCTGCATAGAATTGAAGAAAACAATAAATTTAAATCAAAAACGAAAATTTAAAAAAGACATGTACTTCATAAATTGAAAGAAAACGTTTTCCTCTTTTTCCATACACATCCATTTTATAATAAGGATGCAGAGTGAGAAGTAAGATTGTTATAAAAAACTGAAGATTCGGGAGGGGAGAGGAGTTACGGAGCAGGGCTGTGGAGTCGGAGTCATGGAGTCGGGCAGATTTTGGGGTAAAAGGAGTCAGAGCTGGAGTGGCTAAAAACAGGTTCGACTCTAACTCCAGTTTTTGTTGGACAGTTTGAATTTGAAATGAAAGTAAAATGAATTGGAAAAAAAAAAAAAAAAAAAAATTACAAGCTGAGTTATTATTTTTATTTATGAACTATATATATTAATGAATAGTTATTTTCTATTTTATTGACATATTAATAAATAAATATAAGGGAGGAGGATAGATGTGATATTTGCCATTAGTCACTGAACTGATTCATTTAGTTACAAATTTCACTGGTAAATTTAGATAAGCAGCAATAGCAGCAAGAACTTCCAAAATTGATGCCATTCTTATTAAGCAAGCAGGAAAAGGAGCAATTACTGATCAAGCAACGTAATAAGGAAGTACATATTTGATGATAAAGAGATTGTCAGAATTAATAACTTTTTTAGAAGATGTAGATAACCCTAATGTTTCACTAATAGAAAGACTGTGGAATGATCTTGCAGAATTGGAAACTCTTCTTTCTACACCCTATATAACCACAAAAAACCTGCAATCTGAAGAATTGACAGGAGACGAGAATGGAAGAATGGGATTTTTGTTCTTTCTGAAACGGAGGCTTTACTGCAGAAGGAATCATTCCTTCAATGAAAAAAAGAGAAACTAGTTTGTAAGACAATGCGATCTTGCTGTGTTCAATATATGTAGACCTGAAACACTGAATTTTTTTGGATGACGAACAAATTGAAAAGGCAAAGAAAGCCATCTATGAACTTTCATTAAGAATGAAATTATTCTCAGAACAATTGGAGAATTCGAATCGGGACAGTCGAACTGCAAACATTTTAATTGAGCCTCTTCCAGTGATGAATTAGATTTTGAGAAATATTTTTGGATAATATTGAAAAGGCTAAGGCAAAGTGAATGAAAATAAAGAACCAAGAGCCTTTAGCTATATAAATGAAAAAATACGAACAAGATTTTTACACGGCCTTTGAAGAAATACAGAAATATGATTGCGCTTGAAAGACACCTCTTTTAGAAAATCTATCCTGAAAATTTAAAAGAAATAGCCCCCTACAGTAACAGTTCTTCCTCCTACTCAAGTTAGTGTGGAAAGTTCTCAGGTCTGAAGTTTATCGAACCGGATCTATGTCCCTCCAACAAAGAAGAACTTGCCGAAGCTATACTGTTTCTTAGAGATAATTAATACTAGTTTTTTTCTTTTTATAATAAATGCTAATTAATATAAATAATTTGCTATGCCATCAATTTTTTTCTGTAGCATCTATTACTTCTTTTATATTAAAAAAATAAGCTGTAACCCATGCGTATATATGTTTACATATATATATATATATATGAGGGAGTCGAGTCGGTGTCAGAGTCTTTAAAATTCCAGGAGTCGGAGTCAGAGTTGGAGTCGGTCATTTTCCCTACCGACTCCACATCCCTGTTAGGGAAGATTTATTTGTAAGTACATCCAGATAACGATAGCGTTTAAACACACCAAAACTTTTTTTTAATATCCCCCCCCAAAAGAATTATTTAAGGAAATACTAAGACAATAATAATAATAATAATAATAATAATAAAACCACCGAATCAGTGATTGAAAATGATCATTCATTTTACACAGCCAAGGACTATGCAACTGTAAAAAATCCACTTTCCTTAAAGTTTGTTGTCCCCGATGGGGAAGTATTTGAACTCAACGACTGTACGTACCTCAACGAACCATCATTCCACGAGGACACAGATATTGACGTAATCAAGAAAAAGCAACAGTGCAGAGCTATAATATAGTATTACTTGTGTTTCTGGAATTTCAATTTTATATTACAATACTGTACACGAAAAAAAAATTTCGAAATGTTGTTTGAGAATATTAATGGACGTATTTATCCCAGTTAAGGGGATTCGATCTACTTTTGATATTACTGCAATACGTTTGTATAGGTCAGGTTCATGTTTATTGATGTTGTTGTTGTCTTGTCCATGATTTTCATGAAAAAATAATTGCCTGAGCCTCAAAGAGGTTGGACTTCTACTTCCACCAAAATTTTGAGGGACAGCACCCTGGGGAAGGGGTCCGAGAGTCTCTCACCTTCCACCAAACCACACAAGAGGTCATGTATACTGATAGAAAGGGGATTTCCTCAAGCTGGATTTCTATTCGTTGTTTTTCAGCAATTCCTGGTCGAAAAGTTGCAGGTTTAAGGCGTACAACTTAAAATATATTAATACTTACATTAATAATTATTAAGACGAATATCTTGTCAAAGAAATCTCTTAAGTCCAAGAACATTTAGGAATTTGAAACTTCGTAGATAAGTAATATATGATCCATGTAAGCATCTACATATACACTCAAGAGCCAAAACATTACGATCAGTCCTACATTTTGCGATGAACGCGCCTGGATAACGTGGAAGGCACGTGATCAGGTGGAAGTGGTATTTAACTGCTGCTTAATAACTTTATTTTATCTTTAATTAATTATACCTTTTTCTTTAATTAATTAATTATAGTTATCTTACTCAATTCACGGTGATCCTTTTATTTCTGATTAAATTATACCGAACTTCCAGTGTTAGTCTCTAATAATAAGAACCTTCACGCATTTAACATGACGATTTTCGATAAAAACAGTGACCAGTAACTATCTAAACATTTCCCTTTAACTGTGTAATATACTAGATTATGTAAATTAATACTTCTGTTTTACATGCTTCAGAATTTTCCAAAGAGTAAAAAAGGTATGTGAGATGTATTTTAGGGTTTTACTGGATTGTTCGTTCACTAGTTAAGCCAAAAATCGATAAAAATATTCGTGTCATACGTTTATTACATATTGCATTGTGTTAAAGTCCATTTCATTTTTTATGTCTTTCTGTCAACTGTCGTGTTATTAACCTGTAAGTCATGTTGTTTAGCCATTCGAGCTTTTCAAATATGTGTCCTTCATGATAGATGAAAATAGATGAATTAATAAAACGAATTAATTATGGATAATAACCCCACTAGTATTTCAATAAGAGCTATTCAAATAAATTAAGCATGCTCTCAAACTGCTATTGCACAGCTAAAAACAGATATACAATAATATTCAACAGCCTTTATGTATAGATGGGAAATCTGCGAATTTCCCTATCCATTGTAAATTCATCTATTATGATGACTCGGTACCCGGAATGGCAACAATAGTTCAGAACTTGAATTTGAACTTAATAAGTAGTTATAATATGTGAAACTTGACGGTGTCACATATGGCAACTAGAACAAAAACGATTGACAATCATGAAATTGATATATCTCTCCGGTTGTAGATTTGACTGAATTGACAGAACTGTTGAGAGACTTTGAAGATAACGTCCGCAATAGTAACGAAATAATCACCTAAAAACGATCCGCAATAGTAATGAAATAATCACTTAAAAAGACAGAAAATTATTAAATATCTTGGAATAATTATTGATGAAAACTTAACATGGTTATCTTAAAAGGATTACTTAATGACAAAGACAAGTAAGATTGTCAATAAGTTGATTCGAATAACTGAAATATATAAAATGGTTATTAAAGAATTATGCAAATGAGCATTTGCAAGAATTGTTGTTTATACTTGTCCAGCATGATGGAAATCTCCCACAGTTAAAATGAGGGGAAAAGCAAACGCTTTTCAAATAATAGCTTTACTTGCAATAAGATGTTATAAAACAGTATTTATATCATCCTTTCAAATACTAGTAGGTGTGATTCCACTTTATGTACAGCTGGATATAGAAATTGCTATTCAAAAATGAGTAGAAGCGGGTGCAGTTTTAAATTTTATGGCGTAAGTATTACTAAAGAAGAAATAGGAAGCCCAGACTCCCAAGTGGTCACAACATTCGGTCAAAATTAAAGCTTTCAAGTGGGATTTAAGTTCGCCACAGGACAGTGGCTTTGAACTATATTCGGACGGTTCAAAAAAATGATGATGGGACTGGACTGGTGCAAGATTCTGTATCTATCAATATGGCATACTTAAAGAATGATGGTCTTTTTCCCTAGATAGCAGATGCTCAGTCTCTCAGGCTGAAACAGTGGCTTTACTAAAAGCTTTACAGTGAATCAGTAATAAATTAGAGGCAAATGTTTACTCAAATAGCCAATTTGCAATAAAATCAATCGATAAATACAACATCTTCTATAAAAATATTCTAGAAATTTAAAAGGTATTTTCAGAGATGAAGACAAGGTTACATTGGATTCGAGGGCACCAAGGTACCACTGAAAATTAAAAGGCTGACGAATTAGCAAAATTAGAAATTTATTAAAATTATGTAATTGAATGTAATATGCCACGAAGTTATTGAATTTTAAGGCCAAGAAAAAAGGGATAGAAATTTTGGCAAAAAAGATGGACTGAAGATAAAACTAGAAGAACTACATTTAAATTCTTCCCCAAAGTCTCAGAAAAGAGGCATTTATCTTTTTGAATAAAATATTTACAAATCACAGGGCGTTTCCCAGATATTTTAACAGATTTAATCTGAAAGGTACTCATTGCTCATGCAGTTATGGGAACACAATGACAAATACTTTTCATATGATTATAAAATGTCCAAGTGTAAATACTGAAAGGCTAAAACTGTTTCCACAAACACTGTCTGTAGAAAAGCTATTAAAGCTCATGCTTACGGATCGAGAAAGAACTACCATCTCAATAATTAAGATAAAATAACACGCCAAACAAGTATTAATTTAGAATTCAGACAACACAAATCTTATAAGT